GAATAGACCACATTTTAGGCCACAAAGCAACCCTCAACAAAATCCAAAACATGAAAATAATACAAAGTATTCTTTCTGATTACAATGACATAAAAGTAGAAATTGATAACAGGAGAGCAAGGAAAAAAATCAAATACATGGAAACAGAATAACACCTTGCTTAAAAACCACTGGGTAATAGAATAAATCAAAGAATGAATCAATAATCCAACCAGGGACGTAAAAGAGTTATACAAAGAAAACTACGAAACACTATTGCAGCAAACCAAAAGAGACCTACATAAATGGAAAAACATATCGTGAATAGGAAGACTCAACATTGTGAAAATGTCAACTTTACCCAAAGCAGTCTACAGATACAATGTAAAGCCAATCCAAACACCAACACCGTTCTTTAACAAGATGGAAAACTACTCACCAACTAAATATGGAAAGGAAAGAAGCCCCGGCTAAGCAAAGCATCCTTGAAGAAAAAGAACAAAGTAGGAGACCTCACACTACCTCATCACAGAACCTACTATATAGCCATGGTAGTCAAAACAGCCTGGTAGTGGTACAACAACCAACACACAGACCAATGGAACAGAATTGAGAACATAGATCCAGCCACCTATGGTCAGCTGATCTTTGACAAAGGACCAAAGTCCATTAAATGGGAAAAAAGAGTCTTTAACAAATGGTGTTGGCAAAACTGGATTTCCATCTGTAAAAAAATGAAACAGGACCCATGCTTCACACCATATACAAAATAAACGGATCAAAGATCTAAATATAAAACTTAAAACAATAAAGATCATAGAAGAAAAGATAGGGATAATGCCAGGTGCCCTAATACATGGCATAAATACAGTACAAATCATAACTAACAATGCACAAACCAACCCATTGCCATCAAATTGATTCCAACCCATAGCGACCCTATAGGACAGAGTAGAACTGCCCCATAGGTGGCGGATTATGGATTCTAAACTCCTAACCTTTCGGTTAGTAGTCGAATGCTTAACCGCTGCGCCACCAGGGCTCCAATGCGAACACCAGAAGATAAACTAGATACTAGATAACTGGTTGCTCCTGAAAATTAAACATTTAAGCTCATCAAGAGACTTCACCAAAAGAGTAAAAAGAGAACCTACAGACTGGGAAAAAAATTTCTTTTGGCTATGACATATCCAACAAGAGTCTAATCTCTAAAATCTATAAAATACTTCAACACCTCAACAACAAAAAGACAAATAATCCAATTAAAAAATGGGCAAAGGATATGAACAGACACTTCACCAAAGAAGACATTCAGGCAGCTAACAGACATAGAAGGAAATGCTCTCAATCATTAGTTATTAGAGAAATGCAAATCAAAACTATACTGAGATACCACCTCATTCCAGCATTACTGGCACTAATCAAAAAAACAGAAAATAACAAATATTGGAGAAGTTGTGGGGACACTGGAACTCTTCTGCTTTGCTCGTGGGAATGTAAAATGATATCACCACTACGGAAAATTATATGGCTCCTCCTTAAAAAGCTAGAAATAGAAATACCATAGGATCCAGCAGTCCAGCTTCTAAGAATATATCCCTGAGAAATAAAAGCATCACATGAATAGACACGTACACCCATGTTCATTGCAGCATTATTCACAATAGCAAAAAGATGGAAACAACCTAAGTGCCCATTGACAGATGAATGGATAAACAAATGTATGGTACATACACACAGTGGAATACTATGCAACGATAAAGAACCATGATGAATCTGTGAAACATCTCATAGCGTGGATGAATCTGCAGGGCATTATGCTGTGTGAAATAAGTCAATCACAAAAGGATAAATATTGTATGAGACTACTACTATAAAAACTCATGGGAAGGTTTACACACAGAAAAAAACAATCTGTGATGGTTACAAGGGAGGGGAGGGGTGAGGAAGGGAAATCACTAACTAGATAGTAGACAAGTGTTAACTTTGGTGAAGGGAAAGAATACACAGTATAGGGGAAGTCAGCACAACTTGACCAAGGCAAAGTCATAGAAGCTTCCTAGATACATCCAAACACCTTGAGGGACCGAATTACTGGGGCTGAGGGCTAGGGACCATGATCTCGGGGGACATCAATCCCAACTCATAAGGCACGAGAAAAAAAGTAAACCTGCAGAAAACTGCAAAAAAAAAAAAAAAAAAGTGAAATGTAAGCAAGCTAGAGTCTTCTGTCCTTGGAGAGTTTCTATTCTAGTTTGGGGAAGATCAAAAATAAATGAGGAAAGAAATAAACCTAATAATTTCACACAGGAAAAATTTGCCCTGAAGTTAAACAGAAGCGAGGGGGGTAGGTGGGGGTCTTGTTTAGCTTGGGCGACCTGAGGGGTCAGGCGACATTTGAGCATTGAGGTGGCCTACATGGCAGAGCAGAAATGAAGGCTGAGGCTACCGGAGTGTGGTGAGTGGGGAGAGAGGTGGGGGCCAAATCAGGAGGGTCCTGTAGGCCACGACAGGCAGGGTTGGCTTTACTCTAGGGGCAGTGGAAGCCAGTGGAAGGTTTTGAAACAGGGGAGTGACATTACCCAATTTGCTTTGCAAGAATGTCCGTCCAGCTGGTGGTGGAGAAAGGGTGGAAGTGGGGCAGGAGTGGAAGTCTTGAGTCCAACAAGGAAGCCAGGTCCTCAGCCAGGTCACAGATGGGGCCGTCTGGCTAGGTGGAAGCTGTGGGGATGTTGACATGCAAATAGATGGAGAATGCACTTGGCAGATGACCAGGGGTGGATGTTGGGGATGAAAGAAAGGGAAGAAGAATCAAGAATGACTCAGATTTATTTTACTCGAGCAACTTTGGAGCTTATATTATTTCACTCCCTCTCCCTGTCCTAATATAAAAAACCCCGTTGCCATCAAGTCGATTCCGACTCATAGCGACCCTATAGGGCAGGGTAGAACTGCCCCGTAGAGTTTCCAAGGAGTGCCTGGTGGATTTAAACTGCCAGCCTTTTGGTTAGCAGCCTGAGCTCTTAGCCACTGTGCCACCAGGGTTTCCTGTCCTAATATAATCTCATTTATTTCTCCCAGTAACTCTGTGAACTTGGTGCTACTGTATCCACATTTTGCAGATGAGGAAACTGAATCTTAGGGAATTTGGATAGCAGACTCATAAGTCACAGACCTGCCCCCAGCTCTGCCTGAGGAAAAAGCCCCACCCCAACCGCAGAAACTACACCGTCTTGGTGGTCCAGGGAAGAGCAAGGGGTGCAGAAATGGTTTTATGTAACTTTTCTAATGCAGCTTTAAGAAACTATTTGGAGACTGGCTACTGTAAGAAATACATGAAATAAGTACTAGATACTGGTATGAACATAGGAAATAAATGTTACTAAACATTAATAAAATCGTTCAAAGTGTTATAATTGAAAAACTCTCCCTAACTCTGGTGGGACTATAAAATGATACGTACGACCATGTTGCAAGACTGGCAGTTTCTTATGAAGTTAAACAGACACCCAACCTATGACTCAGCAGTTCTACTCCTGGGTGCAGTTTCTCTTTCCCAAGAGAACTGAAAACATACCCACAAAAAGACCTGTACAAGAATGTTCACGGTCACTTCAGTCACAATCTTCTAAAACTGGCCACAACCCAAATGCCCATACACAGGAGACTGGAAAAGAAAATTGTGGTATATTCGTACAATGGAATACTACACATCAATTCACTAATATGTGAATGAATCTCAAAAAATGCTACAATGAATGAAAGAAGGTAGACACAAAAATACATCCTATTTTGCTTCATTTATTTGAAATTCAAGAACAGGAAAAGCTACTCTGTGTTGATAGGGTGGGAGTCTGATAGGAAGTGGGCACCAGGACCTTGCTGGGGGATGCCATGCTCTGTATTCCAGCTGAGGTGGGAAGTAGATACGTGTCTGCATATTTCTTTCCAGAGGTGAGTCAGCACTTAAGCAGAGTGGTAATAATGACCAAAGGAAAATAAATATGCATACACAATCTGAGGAGACAAGGAGCAATGTGTTCGCTGAGAAAAGCGCCCTTGGCTTCTCTGATAGACAAACTACTCATGCAGTGCGGAAGATGCTGATGTGGTCGGCAGGGACAGATCCGTCATCCTGTCTGTGGAAGCAGGGAGTTAGCGAGCTGTCAAGCAATCAAAGAAATTATTAATATACAAATCCATAACGCCTTGGGAGACACACACTCTGCATGTTGACAACCTTGAGAGCCTTCAAGTAATCTCTTAATATTTCAGTGAGGTAACCTAAAGGTTGTCAGTTCGAACCTACCCAGCAGGGCTGCAGAAGAAAGGCCTGGTGATCTGCCTCCATAAAGAATACAGCTGAGAAAACCCTATGGGGTAGTTCTACACTGTCTTACGGAGTCGTCGTGAGTCAGAGTTGACTCCTGGGCAAGGGTTTGGTTTTTGGTTTTTACACATATAATTCTGAGCAGTTCCACTAGATGGCGATGTGTCCGCTGATGTCCACCGACCACACGTAATCTGGAAGCTTTCCTTACCTATCCACGTGGAACTCAGACGCACATGGGTGGTTTACATACACAGACACACTGCACACACACACTGCACACTGTACACACACTGTATACACACACCCTGTACACACACACTGCACACACACACACGCACACACACACACACACACACTGCACCCCTGCTTGTGTCCTGAGTATTTGTTTTCCTCATCTTTTACCATCTGATCCCATTGCTGTCCCCCTTACTCAGCGTGAATTATGTATTCATTTTGGAGGTATAATAGCAGATGGGCAATGGATTTTTTTTTTTAATTCCACTTGTTTTTTTATGTCATGTTCTGTTGGCGGTGGGAAGGCGTTTGAGTGTCTTAGGGAAAGAGCAGTATAATAAGGTGTAGTGCAGGGGCCATCAATTAGGATGTGAGTGTCTGTGGGGAAACCATGCTGAGGACTGCTGGAGCAGAGACCTGATGCTGATTTTTTTGCCTTTTTTTATTTTTCCAGCTGGTAAACTGGAAACAGTGAAATGGGCATTCACCTGGCCCCTGAGTTTTGTCTTATACTTCACTGTCCCCAACTGCAACAAGCCCCGCTGGGAGAAATGGTTTATGGTGACCTTCGCTTCCTCCACGCTGTGGATCGCAGCCTTCTCCTACATGATGGTGTGGATGGTGAGTGTGTCGACGCCCCCATGGCCCTGCTAGATCTCTTTAGAGAGAAAACGCACTTCACTAAAGGGCAAGCGGAGTTGGGATTTCAGCCAGTTAACTACATCAGTCAGCTGTGCTGCGTAACAAACCAGCCCTCACCTCGGTGGTCTAGAACCACAGCATTCATCCCCCGGCTCACAGGCCTCCAGCTTGACTGGGGTTTGAGTACTCTTAGCTGGGGCTGCCAAACAGCTCTGCTTTGAGCTACAGCTGGTCAAGTTTGAGTCAGGCAGCAGGTTGGGTTCAGGTCTGCTCCGTGGGTTTGCTCACTTTCCTTGGACCAGCGGCTGTTAGGGAATGCTCTTCTTATGGTTGACTACTGGCATGCAAGAGGGCAAGTGTAAACACAGGGTGTCTCTTAGGACCATGGCTTGGAGCTGACACTCACATTCCAGTGGCCAAGTCCAACATCAGTGCAATGAGGGAAATACACGCCACCTACTCCCACCGTCTGTCAGTTTGTCATACTGTGATGGTTTATGTGTTGCTGTGATGCTGGAAGCTATGCCGCTGGTATTGCAAATACCAACAGGGTCACTCGTAGTGGACAGGTTTCACTGGAGCTTCCAGACTGACAGACTAGGAGGAAAGCCCTAGTGATCTACTTCAGAAAATCAGGAAATGAAAACCCTATGGATGACAACAGAACATTGTTCAACTCACTTGCTTTGGACCCATCATCAGGAGGGATCAATCATTGGAGGAGGACATCATATCATCATATCTGGTGAAGTAGAGGGCCAAAGAGGGCAAGGGAGACCCTTGGTGAGATGGATGGGCACAATAGCTGCAACAATGGGACTGAACATGCTGGCAAACGTGAGGGTGACAAAGGACCAGGCAGCATTTTGTTCTGTTGCGTATAAGGCCACTGTGAGACAGAGCCAACACAACAACAGCTATCTATCTGTCTGTCTGTCTACTCTGCCCACTTTAGTGAACAGAACAGCAGAGTCAGAGAGCAAAAGGCGTGGAGGAAAGACATGAAGAATTGGGGCGTGATGATCCGCTCTGTCATAGTCACTGCCCTATCTGAGTCTCACTTTCCTCAACTACAAAATGTGTTCATTGGACTCAGTGACCCCTCAAAGGGCCTTCTGAGGCTAAAATAGTGATCCGTGATTGACATTGGTTGTGGAGGTGTGGCTCCAAAAAGTCTTCAGTGCAAAGTAATTTTAGGAAACTCAGCTCTCCGGAATGCATTGTTCATTTCTGATGGCACTTTTACTGGAGAGCAAAGCTAACTCAGTAGAATTGGAGTTGGGCAGAAATTAAAAGCCATGAGAAGGTTATGCAGATCTAAATTAATCTTGCTTGAGTGTTGAGCAGAAATACAATATAAATTCTAGATAATTATACTCAAGAGCTAAGAAGGTTTTTGAAAAGATGATTTGGAGGCAATAGCACATTTGTAACCCTGAAACTATTAACTCATAATTATCCCTCGCCTTCAAGGTCACAGGCAAACTGACAATGTTTTTTAAAACCTGTATCACATAGCTAGGGGTCTCTCCCTCATTCTGCATTCATTAATTTTTTTTGTATTTGATGTATTCATTGAATTCCCTTTCTGTTCCAGGTCTGGGCAGTAGTGTTACTGTCCCTGACTGCAAGGCGCTCAATGTTTTCTCTGAAGTTCACTAACAAGCAAACTAGTTGACTCATCTGAGGTTCACCTTCTTTCTGCTTGCCTACTTCCCATCTGGTGGAGGGACTGATAAGTCCTGAGAAATGGCCAAAAGTAAGGGAGAGAGAAAGGAGACCCTGGTGGTACAAATGGTTAATGTGCTCAGCTGCTAATTAAAAGGTTGGAGGTTCGAGTCCACTGAGAGGCACCTCAAAGAAAGACCTGGTGACCTGCTTCTGGAAACTCAGCCACTGAAACCCTATGGAGCACAGTTCTACTCTGACACTCTTGGGGTTGTACACACAAGGAACCAACTCAGGAACAGGTTTGCTTTTAAGGGAGAAAACGAAGAGAGGCAGGAGACCTAATTCCAGCCACCTCGTTAGTGAACTCCCCCCAACTCCAGATTCACCCCCAACCATAATCTTAACAGCTAGCATGCAACTGAAGCAGCAGTGCCTTCCAAGTCAAGTCTGGTCAAGCCAAGCCTGATTCCTACAAGGACTGAGCTGTTAGAAAGGAAAGACAAAGTTGCCAGTAGAGCTGGGTTTGAGCCTGGGAATGTGTAGCTCCATTCCACAAAAGGCCTCTAAGAGCAAAAAAAGAGAAATATTTTAGAAATATTTCTCCACCACACTCGGTGGAGACTGAAGCCAGAAAGCCCCAAGGCCATCCTGAGCAGAAACGAGGTGCATTCTCTGGTCAGAAAGGAGCTAGTGAGGCATCTCAAGGGATTTTAACTAACCATTCCCCAAACCTCTGGCCAGGGAGAGGCCAATGTGGCCTTCGGAGTGAAGTCCAGGGTTTCCTACATAGGTATCTCTTTCAGTAGCTGGCCCATGAAAAGAATGTGCTACTCACAACATGTGGTTTGCATTTCTTGCAGTTTTCTACAAAATGAGGCAATCGAGTGACGTCCTAAAATGACCTAATGGTTTCGGCTCTTGCAAACTATCCTCTTAGGCCAGCATCTTCACTTACTGCTCTTGCCATTGGCCCCTTGATCACGCTGTCTCACCAACGGCCTTCCTCTCAGCTTTCCCATGTGGAAATTGGGGGCAAGAATGGGCTCATTTCCATCATGGGGGAAAGGTCTCAGTGTTGTATTTCAAATGCGGGGCTACCTATGCGAATGAGCCTGTCTGCCCCGGCTGGAATCCCCCTGTGCCACTTGCTAGCAGCATGTGACTCGAGCACATGCTTCCCCCAGCCTCAGTTTCCTCATCTGAAAAATGGCATCATAATAGCACCCGCTCCATAGGGTTGTTGTGAAAATTAATTAAGTTAAAACCCATGAAAACCGCTTAGCACTGTGCCCAAGCACTAAATGAGCGTAAGCTATTACGATGATGCTGACGAGGAGAATGACAATGACGTTGTTACCCGGCTTCAAGGGAGACAGAAGAGCAGTCAGCTGACGATGGCCCTTCTGACCAGGGAAGTCTGGGTGATGTAGTCCAGCCCCTCTCCGTTCCTGTAAGCTCCCAGCATGCCTCTCCTGTCGAGGGTGCGCCCATCCCACGCACAGCACAGCAGCCATCCACTGGGGTCTCCCAGGACCATCCTGAGTTCAGATAGTCTGTCCCAAGGCTGCCTTTTCCCAGAAACTCTATTTCCCTCCCACACCTGAAAGGAACAAATGAAAACAGCCAGTCTTTTGTTGGAAATCGTGAGGTCTGTACTACCCTGTCCCGTGAGCCAACAGCCTTGGTCTGCGCCCCACAGTGTCCCACATCCCCTGTATTAATACGGGGAGCAGAAACGTTGCCCCCCAGAGAGATGCCCAGAGTGTCACCCTTCCTGCGTCTTGGTCATCAGGCCCCAGTGGGCAGGTCAGGCTGGAGTTGGACCTCTGCTTAGGGCCCATTTCCTCCTTCCAGGTCACTGTCATCGGCTTCACTCTGGGGATTCCCGATGTCATCATGGGGATCACCTTCCTGGCCGCAGGGACCAGCGTGCCTGACTGCATGGCCAGCCTCATTGTGGCCAGACAAGGTGGGGCCTCTGGGAGGGCACCGAGTGGGGGGAGAAAGGAAGGCCTCCCTACCTGGGGGCAATCAATGGGGCACCGGATTCGGGCTTGGAAGGGTGACTTCAGAACCTTGTAGGTCAGAGGCTTCCTGGGGACAGAGGAGCCAGAAACAAGCCACCTTTGAGGAAGACAGAGACATTTTCTAGGTAGCAGCCCACAGTCCCTTTTGGAGGTTATGTTACTGTCCCTCCATCATTAAAAATAGGAATAAATATAATGATAGGTAACCTTTCCTGAGTGCCACACGCTGAACAAGACATATTAGGTGCATTATCTCATTTCATTTTAACAGCAGCTCTATGAGATAGGGACAACATACGCCCTTTTTATGGAACTGGTGCTTAGGGAGGACAGACCCCATACCTGAGTTTCGACAGCTGCAGCACCCCTCAGAGGGGCGGCAGCCAGAGGTCAGCTTTTAGTGTAAGGCGGCCCCTTCCTTCCTTCAAAACCAAGCTCACAGTTCACCTGCCAGGTGGACCCCCCAGATGGCCGTGCCTTCCCCAGCACCCGCTCGAATGTATACGGCTGATGCATGTTTTAAACAAACACAGTGTGTAGCTATCAAACTTAGCACTGTGTCTTCAAGAAATCCTCACCAAATTCTGATTACATTATTTTAAAGATATTCCTTCACTGTTCAGAAGAGGAACTAACTGCAACATAGAGGAAGTGGGAGTTGATACTCAGTGAGCTAGTGAGCTGCTTCACAGAACCGTGGAGAGTGTTCCTTTCTATAGGGAATCCTCAGAGCTTTTGGAACCATATTTGGTTTTTGGAATCACTTACACTGGGTCAGTGATCAAGGTCGACGTAAGGTCAACATTGCAATAGAATGTGGTTTTGGCATTTTGTGATCGCTGTCAATCTATGGTGATGGTCTGGGAGGGAACCAAGCATGAGAACTAGCAAAACTCTCTCTGGCTTCCAGACCCAAGGCCTGAGAGGGTCCAGCCTGCGGCCGCCGTGCTCCCCTGTGGTCACCTCCCTCAATGGAGCGACCTCTTTTCCTTGCAGGCATGGGAGACATGGCCGTGTCTAACTCCATTGGGAGCAACGTGTTCGACATCCTAATCGGCCTGGGGCTCCCCTGGGCTCTGCAGACGCTGGCAGTGGATTACGGATCCTACGTAAGTATTTTTCTCCACGCTTCTCCTTAAATCCAGCGCACACAGATTTGTTCTCAGCGGCCTTGGCCACTGTGACTTTGCCTCAAAGGAGATGTGGAAATGCCCAATTTGAGGGGAGATAAATTCTCCTCATCAAGTCGTTCCAAAGCCAGGCTGTGGGGATATTTAGGACTCTAATGAAAGGATCAGTAAACTGTTCCTACCCAGGGCCAGAGAGTACATACATATTGTGGACTTTGTGGGCCACAGAGTCTCTGTCACAGCTATTCAGCTCTGCCATTGGAGCATGAGAGCAGCCAGAGACGAAACGTCAATGAATGGGCACGGCTGTCTCCAAGACAACTTACTTATAGAAACAAATTTGAATTTCATGTCATCTTCACATGCCATGATATATTTTACTTCTGGTTCCTTTCGACCATTGAGAAGTCTAAAACTCCTTCTTAGCTCGTGGGCTAGACAAAAACAGGAGGCGGGCAGGATTTGGCCCGAGGGCTATCGTTTGCCAACCCCTACTTCAGTGTATTTAGTTTGCATGCAAAGCACTTTTATTCATTATGGAAGGAGCACAAAGAATTATCAGCTTCCAAAATACAAGACACCCTCTCTGCTAGGGATGGTTCCATGGAGGCTCCCCACAGAGCCGTGCAAGCACTGATGGCCCCATGCCATGTCTCAAGGCAACGCTAAGTATGGCCTCAGGTGGGTTTGCAGGTTGGTGACACTGCTCATCTGGGGAGGTGTTGATGGTATTTCCTGACTCACCAAAGCATTCCCTCTCCACGCGTGTGAACTTCTCTCCTAGACACAGTCCAAAAACTGCAATTCGAGATTTCTTCCTGTATCAGGAAGCAAACTTAGTGTGTCCAAGTTTTTCTCTCCAACCCAGAGCTGGGCATATCTCTAAATCTGTTACTGTGCATTAATGCAGTCCATCTGCACAATGCGTTGTAAGTGTTTGTTATGCAGAAAACATCGTGGCTCATTCTGTCAGATGATGCTTGTCTTCAGAGTTTCTTAGCTAATGGACACTTCAGGTTGGGAAGGTAAGTCCAGCTGGTTGTACTGGAAATAAAATCCATACAGTAAGGCCACATGCTTTTGGTTCATGGGATTTTCCCTTGAGGTAAAGATGAGCAAACGGAGATGGGAGGAAGCAGAAGGTGTTCTAAGGAGTGGAGGACTCTGGGTTGTCTGTGAAGTCAGGTAATGACGTAAGTGGTCTGCAAAGCTGCTCTCAGGAGGAGAATTTGCACTGAAATTTGAATGATGAGAGGGAACCAGCCACGGGGAAATTGAGGCAGGGAGAAGTGAAAAAAAAAATCCAGCCAGAGGTACAGCCAGTGCAAAGGCCCTGAGGCAAAAAAAAATGCACTTGGCACTTTGGAGAAACTGAAAGAAGTCCAGTGAAGTGGAGCCAAAGGAGGGAGGAGGGGCATGATCTGAGATGCAGTTGGGGAAGCAGGAAGGGGTCTGATCCTGTGGGTGCTCATTTGGCAATTAATAAAAAGGATGACATCCAAACATATAATACGTGGATTTAGAAAATTTATGTTTTTGATGACTTTTATGTGAGATTCAGGAACATGAGTTTTAATGCTAGACCTCACACCAAAGAACAAGGACCACTGGTTGTAGTTAGCTGCCGCCGAGTGAGCTCCAACTCATGGCAACCTCATGTACAACAGAACAAATTGCTGCCCTGTCCTGTACCATCTTCGCGATCATTGATACGCTGCAGTCCATTGTTGCGGCCACTGTGTATTTTGAGTTCCTCCCAACCTAGGGGGCTCATCTTCCAGCACTGTATTGGACAGTATTTTGTCGTGATCCATAAGATTTTCACTGGCTGACTTTCAGAAGTAGATCACCAGGCCTTTCTTTCTAGTGTGTCTTAGTCTGGAAGCTCCAGTGAAACCTGTCCACCATGGGTGACCCTGCTGGCATTTGAAATACTTATGGCCTAGCTCCCAGTATTATAGCAACATCCAGGCACCACAGCACAACAGACTGACTGACAGGTGGTGGAAGGACCACTTGGCCTTGGCTGATTTTAGAGTAAATGTATCCACAACAGAGGCTGATCCTTGAAAGGACCCTCAGCCACGCACCCTAACCTCTTACCTCCTTGACTACTTGCTGTCTGGCCATTGGACTATCGCTAAACTAGACCCCTCAGACTCAACTGTCGCCGAAGTACTCCCTGCGCTTCCAGCTGGTGTCTTTCTTCCTTCAGACGCCTCTGCCTCAGATGCTCACACCCTCCATCCCCCGGTTCATTTCAAAATGATATCCCCTCTTCCCAGTCTTTTTCAACTGCCACCTCACTCAGGTTACCTTTCCAGCTCCCCTGACTCACACACACCGAACAGGATCTGCCCGACAGCCCTTGTTTCCTTCTCATTCATGGCCCTTGTGCTAAATCTGTGTACTCGCTCCAGCTTTCTACATGTTCAGTGATGCATGTAAGAGAGAGGCACTGAAGGAATATCCTGGTTGGCCCTGAAAGGCTGTCATCCACTGGGCGGTCACATAACTCCAGAGAATCTTTCTAAGTTCTGCAGGCCCAGGAGTGCGATTTTGGGGTGCTTCCAGAGGTGATCAAGCTCTTATTAATTGACACACATCATCCAAATTCACAAGTTTGGTATACAGACTAGAATGTCAGCAGACAGGTAGTAAGGTATTTCAGTGCCAAGGAGAAGGCATACTTATTTTAGAAGATTTGGGCTCTGTGTTCCTGGAATAAGATCTTATGAGGAAGATATTTCAGGGGTCCCACAGCCTGCCTCAAGTTCAGTGATTCACCAGTACTCGTATGACTCCACAGCAGGTTACACTCATAGCTGAAGTTTATTATGCTATGGATATAGAGTAAAAACATCAGGAAAAAGAAATGCATCAGCTGAAGTCCAGATAGGTCAGCTGCAGGCTTGAAGTCTGTCCCCACCAGGGTTGCAGAGGGCATGCTTTCTCAGATGAGGTGACAGCTGCCCCTGCTGGTGCTCCTGCCCTCTCCTCCACCAGCTTAGCCTTCAAGTGTCAGCTTACATGTCAGCCCTGACTCCCCAGCCTGGGTCAGGTGTCACTCCTCTGTGTTTTAATAGCTCCCATCGAGGTGCTTATCTTTGCTGTTTTGTCTGTGTCTCCCTCCCCGCTTGAAGGTAAGAACTGTGCTCATCTTATTCATTTACTGTTTCCTCTGTGCCTAGCACAGTGCCTGGCACTTAGAATGCACTCAACAAGTGTTTGTTGAGTGGATGCATGGATGGATGGATGCATGGATGGATGCATGGATGGATTCTAACTTTTCCATCAGCCTCACCTCAACTGGGGAGGGAACACATAAGCAGAGAAGAATGTGAATAGGCTTCTTCGAGAAGAGAGCTGAGGAGCAAACAAAACAGCAATAAGAATAGCGATGTTCGTTGAGCACCTACTACGCTCCAGGCACTGTGGGGACACCACGAACCCATGGCCCATCTAATCCTTGCAACAGCTAAGGAAGGCAAGGCATTATTCTTTCAACAAATGCTTACTGTGCACCTTCCATGTGCTAGGAACATGGAGAGGTGAAGGGGATATAGAAGTGAGCAAGACAGATGAGACCCTCCCTCTTAGAGCTTACATCTGTTGGGGAGACAGACAATACATAAGTGAACAAACACAGGAGTGTGCTGATTTTGGAAAGTGAATGCCTATGAAGATGATGAGACAGGGAGTGGGGGCAGGTGTCACTCTGGATTGGGTGGGCAGAGAGGTAGGTTCTGTGCTGAGTCCTGACTGACAGAAGGAGCCAGCCATGTATGGAAGGCAGGAGAGTATTCTAGGGAGAGGGGTCTTCCAGGCAGACACTGAGGTGTCAGAAGGGGAAGAGGACCAGGAGGGGTGCGTGCGATGAGTGAGGCTGCAGGGTGGTAGAGATCAGGAGACTAGGCAGGGACCACACCAGCTGGGGGCTCCTAAGCAAGGCAGAGTGTTTAAGTGCAATGCTGTTCTTATCCCCATTCTGCATATCCGAAAACCAAGGCACAAAGAGGTTAAGTTACACAGCCAGAAAGGGGCAGAGAGAACACACTGAGATGTTTTCTGTCCCCAAAGCACCAAAGACTGGAGGGAGAGGGAAGGGCACCATTGCAAAGAGCAGATGGCACCAACAGCTACAGCGCATGCACTGCGGGGGGCACCGGAGGACGAGAGCTAATCATTGGGGTGGGATTTTAGACTGGCTCTATCCCCCAGTTTGCATCTTTGTCAGAAGAGAGGACAAGATTTCCTTATTAAGGCTAAAGTGACCTCTTCAACTTTATCTAAAGAGAGAATGAACTAGAAGGGAAGAGAGCTCCTGACTCCCAGATTCCCTTTCTAAAAGTCCCCCAGACACTCTGACAGCTAAAAAATAGCTGTCCTGGACCCTGGTAAGTGGTATTTCTCCAGTGGCTTTCCATCTGAGGGTTTGGAGGAATTTTTCTGGATCGTGATCCAGTGGGCAGCTTTCATGAGAATCATCCTCTTGTCCAGATCCCCGGGAATGTGCCCACCTTCTGCAGGTATCCTCAGGGGCCAGCCCGACAAGCCAGCCTCATCTGGACGCATTGGTTCTGTAGCCTCCTACCAATACAGAGAAGTCATTTGGAAAAAGATTTCCAGGTTCACGGAAAAACAAACCGACAGGCTTGCTTGCTGCAGGCCTTTTGGTCTGCCCTCATGAATGCCCCCTGCTTTCCTGCAAGTGAGGCTTCGTTTCTGAGAGAACATTCAGGAGTCCCTTCCATCTATCACAGTGTTAACCCCATGACACCTTCTGTGTCTCTGACATCAGAACTGAGCTGCACGGGCGGGTGTAACGGCCTCTCCCGACCTAGCAACAGGCTGCTGACATTTTTGAAGCAATTTTTCCATCTCGTTGGGATGGAATTTCTAAGTCATAATTATCAGGTAATTACAATCAAGACAGCTGTTTCGTGCATAATATTATGTTCGGGCACTTGGCAGTAAGC